TCTCCGCCTTTCTACAAGGCGTCCGGGAAACATCAATGGTTCAGAGCCACTGCTATTATGTATGCTATTTCTCTTCAAACAAAGTTTCCAAATTAAATGTTCATCACTTCTTTTCTTCTCGGTTTCTCAGAGGAAGGGAAGCAGGCATCAATAAACAATTCTCAGTGCGTACCTCTACACATAAGATATATCTGATGGTATGTTGGAAGTCCAAGCACGGTAAGGCTCATCAACAAAGCCGAGAAGGCATAACGACGTCACAAGCACGCCGAACTTGTGCCATTCGATCGTAGCGCGAACGGGCGAATTGAGAATGGGTCCAGTATTGAAACACACGATTCGGATCTTATGAGAAGGTTCAAACGAGAGGGACCAAATAAGAATGGGTCGAAATGTGCAAGGTTCAAATGAGAATGGGACGTTTTGAGATACACCCCCCGGGAGGGCCCCCCTATGCCTTCGCTGCAAGAGGATGGGTCATATCCGCAGGGACTGTCGTGTTCCTCGCTGAGATGAGTGCAACCGCATCGGAAACGAGAAAGAGAACTGCGCCCGCACTAACGCAGCGGTGACAGAAGTTGCCGTAGCCGGGGACTTCGACGAGCACGCCATGGACGAAAAAGAGGCTGAGGCAGCCGCGGCGAGCACCACGCCGGGAGGGTCCGCTGCTGTGGTTTCGACGCCGTCCGAAGAAGTAACAGAGAAGAATGCACCGGAGAAGGGTGACCCAAGCTGCACGATGGAGGAGCCCCCGCTCAAGGTACCGTGCAGCATCCAGCAGACCAGACCACTCAACAGCGAGCCTCAAGGAGACACGGACCCGGGCAACGCAGGCACTCTAACCGACGGCGAGTCGGAGATGAGTGAATCTGAGGATGTCGTTTTCAAGCAACCACCGGACGTTCGCTCTGCAGAGGCTTCCACCGCAGTGCGAACAGAGCTGAAGTGGCGCACGGCGATAGCACGGAGAGAGCGATTCAACCCCAAGCCGCGAATACCTACAGAAGAGCGCCGGCGGGCTGCACCCCCGTAGGTAGGTCTCCTCGGCTTTCGTTCTTCGGTACCGGTCCTTTTTTGGCAGACGCGCAACTTGCAGCCATTGTCCGCGACTGCCGGCAGCGGGTGCTTAACTTCCCACAACACATGCGCTGGGACGTCTAAAGCTTGCCACCCTTAACAGTGTAAGCCTGATCGCCCAACAGCGAAAACAGTGGGTCCTTAACTTACTTTTGCAAAAGAAAATAGACGTTGCTTTTCTGCTAGAAACCAAACTTAGTACTGATAAGCAGGTGGAAGTCATGGCTCATTTTGTGAGAAAGCACTATGACTGCTTTACCTCCAAGGCGAACCCACAGAGTGGCGGGGCGGCTATATTGATAAAAAAATCCAGAGGCATCACCATTTGCCCTGAATGGGAAAATGACCTTAACGGTCGGGTCTGTGCGGTGGAAGTTCTGTACCAGGGAGAGCTACACATGCTTGTTTCGGTCTATGCCCCAAACGAGATAGCGGAAAGAAAGCAGTTTTTCTCTACTCTCCGGCAATACGTTGACACATCATGCAAAATTGTATTGGCTGGCGATTTTAATTGCATATTGCATGTCGCAGACAGCTCGAAGGCTTTGCGGTCGGATAGCAGCCGCGTGGAACTTCGCAAGATATTACGGGACTTCGATTTGCAGGACGCAAATGAATTTGCTGCGGGCCCATGCTTAGAGTACACCCACTGGCAGGGTACATGCCATGCAAGGCTGGACAGAATTTACGTTTCAGATGAACTTGCGGCAACCAGCTCGGCATACGAGGTTCTCCCGCTGGCATTCTCCGACCACGCCCTTGTAACTGTTGCTGTTGGGAAGGTGGCTCCCCAGACAAAGAAGTCGTCATGGTGGAGTGGATGGAAGTTGAATGAAAGCCTTTTAGAAGATGAGCTGCTGCGCGCAGAAATTAAGAACATAATCGGGGAGAAAAGCGACGGGAAGATTGTGGACGCAGTTATCTGGGAGGAGTTGAAACAAGATATCAAACTGGCAGCCTTTAGGTTCAGCCAAGAGAAAGCCGCCCGAAAAAAGGTGGTGAAGTGTTCTTTGACACAGAGTCTACGCACTCTTATAGCTGAGGAAAACAAAACGCCTGGAGTGTTCACGAGCGACATTAGAGAGAGCAAAGGCCGAACACGACTATAAAGGTGCCATGATTCGAAGTAGAACTCTCACCTTGGAAAGGGACGAAGAGCCCTGTAAGATGTTCAAGACGCGAGAAAGACTGCACGCAAGTTGTAACCAGATCACCAAGCTACAAGTCGGCCAGGACACAGTTACGCGGCAAGATGATATCGAGGCTGCCTTTGTGAATGCTTACAGCACTCTGTTTACAGCGGACGGAAACGAGCAAACATCTGAAATATACAAAGGATCGTTGCCGAAGGTCTCAGAGTCTATAAGAAAGAAAATCAACCAAGAGATCACTGCAGCCGAAGTGGAGAGGGCCATCAAGGAGTTGGCCCCTCGCAAATCACCCGGTGTCGACGGCCTTGGGAGCTTCTTTTACAAAACCTTCGCTGAGCGACTGGCCCCGATTCTTCGGGACGTGTTCGCCGACATCCTGCGCCGGGGACTGCTCCCGCCTTCGATGCGTCAAGCAGTTACCGTGCTAATTCGCAGGACCCCTTGGAGTTGGTCACTTTCGACCGATCAGTCTGTTAACCTGCGATTACAAGATCCTGGCCAAGATTCTCGCGAAGCTGCTGGAGTCAGGACTTGGCAGCGTCATTGGAGACCACCAGACCTACGGCATCAAAGGAAGAACGATTGCAACGAACCTGCATGCAATGCGTGTAGTGTTCGAAACGGCAGAGGTGCTACAGTGTCCGCTGGCAGTGCTGCAGGTTGACCTGAGCAAAGCCTTTGACAGAGTGTGTCATTCTTTTCTTTTTTCTCTTCTGGAGTCGTGCGGGATTGGTGCGCGCTTGCTGCGATATGTGCAACTGTGCTACCGCGCTATCTCTACGCGTCTAATTGTGAACGGGAACAAGACCGCCCCCGCTTCTGTGAGCAGATCAGTGAGGCAGGGCTGTCCAGTCTCGCCAATCTTGTTCGCACTGTACCTGGAGCCACTCTGCAGAGCAATTGTTCGCGATGCGAGCATCAGTGGTTTGGTGCTGTCCTCAGGCTCACTTAAACTCCTAGCGTACGCCGACGATGTGGCAGTGGTGTGTTCGTCGGCAACTCAGGTGAAGGCTGTGGTGCAGCATATTAGGAACTTCTGCACCGCTCCGGCGCGCAAATGAACCCGAAAAAATCGGCTTGTGCCTGGCTAGGTGGCTGGGACACAAAGCCAGAGCGTTTTCTTGGCATCCCGTGGACGTCCAAGGTGTCTAGTTATCTGGGAGTTTGTTTAGACGTCGAATAGCTGAGTACGGGCCGAGGCGGAGTGGACTTAAATCGCCTGAGATTCAAAGCGGCAGACCGTAACGGCAGATATATTTCGTTAATGCATCGGGCACACATTTGTAACTCTGTTTTCTTTCCGACTGCATGGTATACGGCACAAGTGGTGCCGTGCGCCTCTCTTGACATTGCAAAAGTGCATCGATTGTTTGCAACTTTTGTCTGGGAGTCAAATTTTGAGCGCATGCGACGAAATAACCTCTTCTTAAGTCAGAAGAAGGGCGGGCTCGGATTAGTAAATGTTGAGCTGAAGCTTCGAGTGCACCGCTTCTTGTTCTTTAGGGATCATAAAAGCGCTTTCATTTTGTCGGCATTCAGAGAACTTGGAGGAGCATGCTTCAGTCCCTGGCTTGAAGGTGCAACAGGAGTCGCCCGTTCACGCGTGCTTAAATTTTACAAAGAAATAGCGGATGCTACACAGTTTTTCGAAGCGAAGTTTTCAAGGGAGTATCTCGATAAGGTTAAAAGGAAAAGATTGTACTGGGATACGCTAGAATCAATGACGCCGCCTCCATTGTATCTCATTAGTGCAGAAGGTGTGTGTAAGTCTGATGTTTTCCAGCGTCTTCGACGCTATCCAGTTAAAATGGGGTCAAAGGATTTTTTCCTCCGCCTGCATTGGGAGGTACTCCCTGTGAAGACTTGGTTAGTGAAAAAAGGGTTTTTTGAACCTTGCTCTACAAATTGTGCACTTTGTCCGGTTTCAGAAACACTGGAGCACGTATTCTTGTACTGTACGAATGCCGAGCTGTTTTAGGCCCAGCTTCGAGCGGTGTTGCGGACAGATCTCTACATGGACTGGAAAAAGGTCAAGTACTTGGAGTTCGGCTCAGGTCTGAAAAGCAGAGCCTGGGAAGTTCTCGCTCTTCTTGGATTGCATGCCTTATGGAACTCGCGGAATGATCACTTGTTTGTAGTGGAAGGAGCAAAGCCAGCTTGGCGCCACTTTGTCGAGGGTTTTATGTATGTCGACTCGATTATAGAGGCAACGCAACAACCAGGCTTGGAATGCTGGACAGCGTGGAAAGCGCGTTTGCAAAGGCGCTAGAAGGTTGCCCCCTTTATTGCGAGTACAGTAGAAAATGGCAGAGTGGCCTGTAAGGGCGCACTAATATTCGTAAGGAGCTGTACTGTGTTGGGTTGAATGCTGCAAAGTTCCTACGCTGCCCTTTAATGTGAGTCAAACGGTCAAACAAGCGGAGAGTGCCGTAAGGCTTTTAACCCTGTAAATAATGTGTGTTTTAAATAAAATGTAAAAAAAAAAAAGCAGAGTGGCGCAGTGGAAGCGTGCTGGGCCCATAACCCAGAGGTCCGTGGATCGAAACCACGCTCTGCTACGGCGAATGTTTTTGCCGATGTTCGAGGTTTTTAAATGAACACCAGTTATCGCGATCATAAATATTTTATAATTAACTTGAAATGTTATTTGTAATATCTTTTTATGCATGTATCCGCATTCTTATCGAGAGTATCCTCTGCTTACACCCAAAATCACAGCAGAGTGGCGGCGGATTCGACTTCCGGCTGCCGAGCAGATCGGACGTACTTATAATGAGCTCCGTCGGAGCGGTATCAGCGGCCCTTTCTGGCCGCGGAAGCAGAAACGCTGACTCTGCATCGCAGGACTACGAAGTGATAATGCCTACGCTGCCTACTGGCTCGTCTGTCCAGAACACGATTTTTTTACACGCCGATGTGCGAGCCCGGCCCTACCGCCTGGAACATTTCCGAGACGCCTTGGCCCGTGCGGCACTTCTCCCTGAAGTGCTCGCCTTGGGGGTGTACCAGTACAACCACGTGTGGGCTGTTACCTTCAGGAGCGCCGAGGGCAAGAAGAAGTTGCTCGCAGCCGACGGCTTCACAGTCAAGGAAGGCCGCTGCGTCGTGGTGGACCCGAATAACCAGGACACGCGACTCAAGCTCCACTGGCTGCTCCACCACGTCCAAGATGAAGAAGTGCGTGTGGCCCTGGCGCCCTTTGGGAGGGTGACGGGGGTCACAAGAGACCAGTGGCACGTGCCAGGCTGTATGGACATGGGGTCGACGACACGCTCGGTGACCCTCAAGATGGCAGCCGGCGTCACGGTGGAGGACATCCCTCAGCAGCTGCGCATCGCTGGTGACCTGGTGTTGGTGGTGGTGCCGGGCAGGGCGCCGCTTTGCCTTCGGTGTAAGGGCAAGGGCCATATACGCCGGGAGTGCAGAGTACCACGCTGTGCATCCTGCAGACATTTCGGCCACAGTGAGAGCCAATGCGTCCTCACTTACGCGAGCGTCGCAGGGCCCGTGAGAAACGACGATATTTCGGAGCACCTCATGGACGTGGCTGACGCCGAGGAAGCTGCCAGCGGAGGAGCGAGTCAGCTACCCGAGCAGGCACCAACAACCCTTGGCCCTTTGGGGAGCAGTGACGAAAGCCGAAGCGACGGTGACCGCGGTAGGCTACCTGCCGGGACGTCGGCGGGCGGTGCGCCGAGTGTGGAAAACGTCGGCTTGGCGAAGTCTTCAGCTATCGAGACGCCGCATACTGACAAGGTTGAACCTAAGGACGTCGAGACGGAGGTCCCCATGGCCCCGGTCCCCAAGCGGGCCCGTGAACTTATTGAAAAAGTCAGCCAGAACTCCGGAGCGGCTGCCCCCGATGAGCCGCCCCCAAAGGCTCCTCTGACGCGGCGGTCAAGCCTGAGACCCAAGCCCAACATACCACCGGACCGAAGTCCGATGGTGACGCTGCCCATGCAGTAGTGAGGCCTCGCGCTCTGCAAGGCACTCGGAACTCTAGAGGGACGTAAACACGACGTGGCCGAAACGGAGACCTCCTGTAGCGCCTTGGACTTTTCGGCTGGCGAAAATGGCCGGCCAGCGCTTCGGGACAGTGAGTCGTTAGGCGCCTCTCAAAGAGCCGAGGTTAGCACCAAGCAGCTCCGTTCTACTCGCTCAGAAAGGGCAGGTAATCTCGATACAGCCCTACGTGTCGCCACGCTGAATGTACGGGGCTTGGCGGCCAGGCGCAGGCAGTACCAACTTAGCCGCCTTTTTCTGGATAACGACCTTGACGTAGTGGCTGTGCAAGAGACGAAAGTAGAGAGCGAAGAGCAAACGAGCCGTATGCTTCAGCCTTTCAGCGCTCGCTATAATGTATATGTATGCCACTCCGTTGGTAGATCTGGCGGTTGTGCTTTATTTTTGCGCAATTCCGTAGGAATTCTGGTAGAGTCTTTTGTTGTTTGTACGAATGGGCGTTTGATTGTATGCGATTTTTCCTTTTCCGGTAAGCAATGGCGTATAATATGTGTCTACGTGCCAAATCAGCAAAGTGAACGTGGTATTTTTTTTTAACAAGTTGCCTCCTATCCTCTGCTAAACTTATTATCTTCCTGGGAGATTTTAACTGTGTGTGCGTTCCAGAAGATAGAGTACAGCAGTTGCCGATACGTGATCAGAGCGCGATGTTATTGAATACCTTAGTGCAAGAATGTAACTTAGAGGACGTTGGGTTGGTTCTGTCGAAAAGTAACGTACCCCAGTTCACGCATCACCAACGCGCAAGCCATGCCAGGCTTGATAGGGCTTATATATCAGCAGAACTTGTCCCACTCTGCCAGAACTATGACGTTAAACATGTATATTTCAGTGATCACAGCTTGGTAATGTTCACGCTAGGAACTAAACAAAATAAAAAGGCCTTTAACTGGGACTTATGGAAATTTAATGATAAGCTTTTGAAAGATGAGCCCTTCATGAGCGGAGTGAAGGAAAACACACAAAAGCTGCCGGAGGCTGAAACTGGAAACTTTAGAACATTGTGGGAGCTATTTAAGGAAGAAGTAAAAATTAATGCGATAGAACGGGCGAGTTTTTTGAAAAGGCAAGAAAGAGCAAAAGAAAAAGAACTGCAATGTCAGCTCCAGTTTCTGCTATGTATGGAGAGCGCTCAACCGGGACAGTTTACGAAAGAAGTTAATGAAGTCAAGAGCAAACTAGAGCTTATCGATGCAGATAACTACCGAGGAGCTGTGATAAGAGCTCGAGCCGAACGATTGTGGGCGGGAGAAATTCCGACTAAACGCTCACTGAGTGATGAAAAAAAATATGCAATACAAAACGAAATAAAAGAGATACAATACGGCAACGAAATCACCCGTGATAAAAAGATTATTAAACGTGCTTTCTTTGAATATTATCGAGATATTTTAGGGTACAAAATAAGTGTTGAGGGTGGTTTTGAAAAAGAGTTTTTACCGTTAATGCCACAATTAAATGAGGAGGTTAAGACAGTCCTCGAAGTGCCGATAAGTGTGCTAGAAATAAAAAGAGCTATTGATGATCTAAACACAGGAAAGTCTCCCGGACCTGATGGCTTGAGGGCAGCTTTTTACAAGGCTTTTAAAGAACCTATGGCTGAGGCTCTACATCGTGTGCTACTAGAAGCGTACGAAGTAAAAGAAATGCCACCATCTTTCCGGAGAACCCATACCATTTTGGTTCCCAAAAGTGAAGACCCTGTAAAACAATTATCGGTTAAGTCATATCGCCCAATAAGCCTTACCAACGTAGATTATAAGATTTTTATGAAAATTTTGGCGAGAAGAATGCAAACTATAATAACATCCATTGATGGGCCTCACCAAACCTGTGGCATTAAACGGCGCACAATCTTTACAAATATTCACGTAGCCAGAAGTATTTTAGAGTGCTGTGACGCTTTCGGCGTTAGAGTGGCCATGCTGCAACTGGATTTAGAAAAGGCCTTTGATAGGGTAGCACACGTCGGAGTATAACAGAGCCTTTATACTCCGACGTAACGCGCGCGCGCGTGCGAGCGCGTCACAGCGACGTCACGTCGGCGAAAACCCGACGCTCTATACTCCGGCGTCGTGGCGTAACCGACGCGACCGGCGGCGTTCGACGCAGCTTGACCGCCTCGACGCCAAAATGGAGCATACCGTATTCCGCGCCGGCCGCGCCGGCGACGCCGGACCAGGATGCATCACGCGCTGGCTCCCGGTAGTTCTCGCGGCGAATACGAGCAATAGCAGACGACGGGAGAACCACTCCGTGCGGCGTCATGTTTGAAGAATCGGACTCGGTCGTCGAGAAGCTGATCCGAGGGAATTCGTCCTCACCCGTGTGTCTACCACACGAGAAAGCTTGTACCGTAGACCGTGCGCTTGACCAAGATGTACCGTATGTACATTGACCGCCTACGCTTGCGGGGCAGGCGGTGCACCAACAGTGCAAGCGCGAGTTTTCGTCGTGCAAGGTACGTCCACACCATCGCTCCAACTTGGCGCTCAAGAAGCGCGAGAATTCTCGTCTGCTATTCGAAATGAAAAGGAACCGGAAATTGCGCACTCTCGCAGGAAGCGCGCCCTCGTAGCCAGATTCTGCGCATGCGCCGCGCTGGCGACCCACCGACGCGCGCCGCGGGAGTCGCCGGAGTATAGAAAGATCGAATTTTTGACGCGCGCGGCGTGACTGACGTGGCGTAGCCGACTTCGGCCAGCGTCCGCTTGCGCGCGCTTTACGTCGGAGTATAACAGACCCTTTACGCAGACGATATTTGTTTGTTTGTTTGTTTATTTTTCTTTTTGACACAACTGTCAGGGAGGTTGGGACAAAAGGCGAAAACGAATCACCTGACTAGGTCCCCAACCCCCGTTACAGCACTCAGCAGCAGGGCACAGGAAATGAATCAAAAACAGCATAAATAAAAAATAAAACAATATCTGAGAAGATAAAAATATGACACTCAAAAAATGTACAATCTATTTTGATGTGAACTATACTAGGAATGCACACTAGGCACATTGGAGTATACCGTAAGGTATTTTTTGAAAAGAAACACGGACGCTATTGTCTGGGCTAATTCGAATACACAATAATTTCTGTTAAGAAGATCGGGTATCTGGTAGGATATTTTTTGTGTACCGTAATTAGTTCTTATTTTAGGTTTTGAAAACTGCTGGTGTCTCAAATTGTAATTTGTTTGCTTGGATAAATATGTTTCGTAAAATATTACGGGATTCGTGTTTATTTGAGTATGAACTGAAATTGTGTTCTTTAGGCAAAAAAGATTATCTAACGTTAATATTCCATGTTTAATAAAGCTAGGGGAAGTCGATTCAGTCCAAGGTAAATTATCAATTGACCTAACTGCGCGTTTTTGCAATGTAAATAATTGCTTAATATTACTTGCTGTAGTCGTCCCCCAGACCAATAAACAGTAATGCAGCCTCGAGTGAATCAGAGATATATACAGTTGTTTATTTAACCAGGCTGGAAGAAGGTATTTTAGCTTACAAATTAAACCAATTGATCTAGAAATATCCCTTCGGAGTTCGTTCACTTGACAAGTCCAGTATAGAATTTCGTGAAAACGAACACCAAGAAATTTAAAGGATTCCACGCGTTCAATATTCGAGTTTTGAAAAGATATACTAATTTCGCTAGTTATGGGCTTATTTTTTGCTCTAAAAATAATGTACTTAGTCTTTGCCGTATTCAGCTCTAACTGGTTTGAGCCTAACCATAAATGAAGTTGCTCCAGCCAATTATTTGTTTCTCTTTCTATGCTATCCAAACAGCTACCAGTAAAGAATACATTCGTATCATCTGCATATAAAATTATGTTAGGTGTTTGTGGGATGTTTACTATATCATTGATGTAAAGAAGGAAAAGTAATGGCCCGAGAATCGACCCCTGCGGCACACCGTATCGAATTTTTGCTAAAGGAGAGCGCATATCATTGAGGACGGTATATTGAAAACGTGAGGTCATGTAACTGCTTATTAAGTTTAGCGCACTGCCTCTTATTCCATACAGCGGTAACTTTCGGAGTAGGATGTCGTGTTTTATAGAATCGAAGGCCTTCCTGAAATCTAAAAAAACACCCAGAGTATAGCACTGATTTTCAATATTTTCTATGATTTTGTTTTTGATATTTAGCAGTGCCATTTCAGTTGATTTACCTTTTTGGTAAATCAACTGATTTACCAAACTGATCAACTGATATAGCTGGTTCATTCCACGCCAAACGATCCAGCCCCTAAATTGACCATTACGGATTTGGTTTGAAAAAATCGTAGGCACGCAAATCGACGTAAACGTAATCTTCCCGATATATTTTCGCAGCAAAATTTTTTTTGTTCCTTTGGCGACCCCTTGATTACCCCGAACAACTGGCTTCAAGGGCTATATACGGCATTTTTTTCCTGGCAGTTTTCAAAGTAGGCTGTAAAATAACACTGTTTTTAGTAACTAAATAGGTCCCCCTAAATGCCCAAATCGTTACTTGCATGTAATTTTAACCTTTTGTTGCAATCTTGTGGCACTAAAAATAGCCTAAAATGCCGCTATTCACCTTTTTTTCCTCGTAAAAGGGCAAAATTATCATGCATAAATTTCACTTGTATTGATAACACTTAGATTGAAGTTCGTTATAAAAATATTTTTCGTATAGTATTTGTTGTAGCAACTTTATAGCAACTTTTACTTAAGAATAACGGTGCTCGGTGGTCGGTCTAAAAATATATCGTCAACGGCAATACGTCATTTAGAACCCAGATATCAAATAAGCAATGTTAGGAAAAACTGTTATTTCTTAAATGCGAATAAATAATTTTTGAAATCCGGGCGAAATCAGCTCGTCGGTCCCAAGGCCGGCACTCAAGCTGATGATGGGTGGGGAGTCTTCGGAATACTTGCTCTATCTAACCTTCTTGAGGACGTGACGCCGTCGTGACGTTTACTGTTCTTGAAAGAGAAGTGAAGCCGACGTTCATTTCGGTCAAAGAAGTTGGCTCGAAGTAATGGGGTCCCCTAGTCCCGCGGATAGGTAGAGCGACATTGAACCGTGATAATAATATCTCTCGCCGCACCTGAACATCACTTTCCGGCACCCAGATCGCTGGAATTTGTGTCAGGTTGTCGCGTGCCCAGTTGAAGAGATTTAGTGGTGTTAACATTTGTCCGCTGAATGGTCTTTGTAGGCTTGACTTCGCAGCCAGTCTCTTCACAGTTCCCCCCACTCCATCGCAGGCACTTTTTCCATGCGATGTGGCAAAAAAGTTCCATGTTGCACTGAGGTTGTAGTCTTCCACGTGATGATAGAGGTTTACAAAGTTCTTTTTTAT